CTGCCTTTGAACTTAGCCTAGCTTGAGCTATAACTGGCAGCGGAGTGCCCCAGTGAGTGTCGTCGGCCCACATGTTCTCGCGACAGGTCGTCGGAATTGTCCATGATTTGAGCCCACCGTGTCAATTTTGACGTCGCACATGAACTCCTACTCGTCTCGCCTTCCTTCTTAATTGCAGCCCCCAAGTTGACTGCAACGATTGACAAATGTCGCAACCACAGCATTCAAGCGAGTGCCACTGGGTGCCGGGGATGTGTCCAAACACCGTCGAAGGGCGGTACGAGTTGTGGTAGAAAATCTGGACGAAATGACGTTGTGAAATGGTACGCAGCACGTGTTTCCCTGAGTCACCAGCCTTGTCAACCCCGAAACCCCGTGGCGAGCATGATTAGTGTGCCAGTCTTTATGCTGTCGGTGCCCAATGGCAAAGAATCGTTTGATTCTGGGTGGCGTTCGTAGCTCGCAAGGACCGCGCCGTCATCAATCGACAGTATGGATGAGCGAAATAGTATGGCTCGAGTCTTCGGTACATGTAATGGAGAATTTGGAAAGTTCTCGTCAAGGACTCTACATCCATAAGAATGTGAACTCGGTCCGCCATCACATGAATCTTAGGGCCTCTTGAAGTGCGCCTATGGCCTTGCGAAAAAGTGTGGACCATGGCAAGTCACACAATCGGTGGGGTGTTTGCAAGCGCCGGCCCTTTCATGCGCTGACGTCATGCCTAAGATATTCCTCGAACGATCCGCTCTGGGCGTTGGCATGCACTTCTTATGCAATGTGGGCAGTGGGCCGTTGGAGCCACACGTACCTGCACACCAAGTTGTTCACCGCGATGTTGGCCGACATGTCGTGAGGTGGGAGCACTTGCCAGACAAGGTCGTTTACCAAATCGTTTCATCAGGACGAACGTCACCCGTGTAAAGTGCAAAATGTCGTGGCAAGTTAGGAGTTGTGTGTGGGCACGCCTGCCGTAAACAACTTTCTCCATTCGTTGAAAACTCGTAGCACTGGGGCCACGTCATGGCCCCGCGAACACCTTACATCCAACTTCACACTTCTCAAATGTCTCTCACAACTCATTCGTAACAGTGTCGTCCATAGCAGAGGATCGATGTTGACGAAACACCGCACATATACTCATGCGTGTCAATCGCTGGAATGGCGACGAGAGGTCACTCGCTGCCCGCGAGGAAGATAGACCGCTGGCTGCGCTGCCACCTATTTGGTCTCGTAGAACTCGAGGTAACCTTGTTCAAACGGCTCAATCTCGACGGCGTTGCCAAGTCTTGAGCTGTTCCATATATAGAGGCCAATATGAACATAGCCACGCGCGCCCGCCCACCAACATAGACACGATCGCGAGCAGTAAAAATGATGGCCCGAGGCATCATCTAGACTATCTGCACCAACTAAGGTATATGTGTGGCATGTTGCATATAGCTCATGCCTCGCTGGCTTCGTCTACGCACGGGATGGCACTGGTGGCGCGGCAGTTGAGTTCAGCGACAGCTACGACCGCCAGTGGC